ATAACACATTCACCATCAGTCATGTAATTGCTTTATTCATCCGGGTTTTGTCTGCTCCTTCCTCCCCACCACTATATAAACTTCATGGGAGGAGTACTTTGCTTTGTTCCCTCTTGTGTCCCAGTGTTTAGAATGGTGTTCAGCATGTAGGTGAGCTCAGTAAATACTTGCTGGATGAATAAGTGGTTCGCTAGCAAGCAACTAGATAATGGAGTTGTATTGTGAGTTTAATAAGCAAACACAAAATGCTCATTTTTAGAAGGTATAATAGAGACATTTTAGATATTTAAAGACATTTCTTTTTGCATCTTGGGAAGGCTGGGGAAGAAATGAGGTAAGGCAAGTCAGGAGAAATTTGCCTTAAAAACACTGAAGATTTTGCCAGCAAGTCCTTAAAGTTTGCCAGCTCACCATCTGAACTATAAAGATGACACAGAAGCACTTTCTTCCTTCTGTGTTGCTTTTCTCTGCACTGAGGCTTGTTAGAATTCTACTAAAGGAAGTTAAAACTCCTTAGAGATCTCTGGGCTTGCTGGAATGCTGTCTTCCAGAGAGTACCTCCTTATCTTTCCTGGTATGCATTGGCAGTGTGATCAGAAGCAATCATTTAAAATGGGCTCACAACATCTAGGAAAAAACCTGGCTTACTCCTTAGCAGCTTTCTCTGTGCTTTCCTGAATCCATAGTAAACACTTCCCACCTGTTCCTCACAAATAGTTAATTATAGGACTAGTGGTAGCTCTTTGAAGCAGGAAGCCAGGCACATCTGCAGCACTCAGAGGAGATACAGAAAGTCCTCCCTACTGCGTAATAAAACCAGCAGATTAGAGCAGATCAGCTTTTCACACAGGTTGGAGCATCACTGAAGACATCTCTCCCCTGCTTCTTCCCCTGACACATTTCTCCTTCTCCAGATGCTGTCAAGTCACTCTCAAAAACGTATGCCCCATGAAGACTTACACCTGCTGAGCCCACCTTTTAATGAGGTGTCTAGAAAATGAATTTGGTCACCAGCTGGGAAGCCAAGTCAGAATCAGCTCCATGTGGGTTTCTCAGCTTTGGGCTGTGAGCCTATGGATTCATGTTTCCTTCTGAGCCAAATGCAATCCCAGCAGGAGGCAGTGAGGGGAACCTGGGCTGCCTAGAGAAAGCTGCTGTCCCAGGAGGCATGCCAACTCCTCCAGAAAGGTCCAGGCTCAGGGCAGCGTTTTGACTCCCATGGTGTCCAGACCCTGATGTTACTTACGTGGTTATGTTATATATCACATGGTAAAAGGAACTCTGTTGATGTAATCAAGGAACTAATCTATTAAGGTCAAGAGAGGAAGAATATGCTGGTTATCTGGGTGAGTCCAATAGAGTCACAGGAGCCCTTAAGCAGAGGAGGAAGCAGAGGGATGTGAAGCAGTAGAAGGATTTGATGTATGTTGTTGGCTTGGAGACAGAGGGAGCCATGTGAGATGAAACTAACACCACGTTCCTAGAAGCATCTTTTATACATGCAACTCCCCTTCTCATAGTCTGTTTCCAGGAAATCCAAGCTAAGATACCATCTTTGTTTACTTTTTTTGTAGAGAAATCACCCTTAATGATAGAGTTCTGAAGTGTGTAAAGTGTAAACTATGCATGATCAAAATTAACTTTGAATATTTCTTAGGAAAGTTAGAAATCGATATATACTGTGTCTCAATACATCACAAGAATGTGGAATTTCCTTCCGCAAGGAATCTGGTCCCGTCTCATTGTTCACACAGCAGACGAACAAGTTGGCTTGTGCTTAGGAAATATTTTGCATCAAAAGTATTATCTTTAAATGCTAGAGTCTCTCACCCAGGGAGGCGAAAGTCTCCCACTGTGAGTCAGGAGGGAAAGAGGCCAGCTGCATTCCCACGTATTCACAACCACTGCAGGGCACTCTGGCTGAGCAGAATGGTGGGCAGAAAGGCCCACCTTTTTATTACTTCCTCCTCCTTTTTTACATTTCCATTTATAGCTGAGTTTGTTGAATTTGTGTAAGTCACATAAACTAATGATGCAACTTCATTTTTCCCCACTACTCTATTTTTGATTTAGGAAATCCAATTATTAATGAGTGAGAATTTTTTTTAAAGAATCACAAATTTATAAGCAATATCAACCCTCATGTAGCTATTTATTTAAATCAGAACTGGTATTGAGAGGAGGCCTGAGTTTCATTATTTTTTCCCCCATCAATGATGGTTGTGTGACCCCAGAGAAGTTACTTACCCTCTCTGAGTCTATTTTTTTCTCAATGGTTAAATTATATTTTAAAGCTTCAAGGAAAAGAGCTGAATCAGTGCTTCCTTTGTTCTACCATTCTCTCTGCACAAGGAGCAGGGAAAATTAATTTATGAAATCTAAGTCAGTGCAGCGCGAGGACCCCTTACAAACTATGGAATGTTCAGAAGTCACAAGCCGCCCTAAACTGCTATTTCCGCGCCTGTAAACAGGGAGTCGGACAGCACTTAGCTCACAGGAGACGTCTGAGGTTCAGTGACATGGCTTAGCAGGGGCTGGATGGTAGGATTCGCAGCAGTGGTTGTTGATGTCAACCCCATATCCTCGCAGCCTTCCCCTGAGGTTCACCTGCCGCTGCTGACAGCGTCTTGCATCAGGCATCTCACTTTCTGCCTCTCTGCTTAAGGACTTTCTCCAGAAACCCAAAGCTTCTTCAGCCTGTGCACAAGGCAGTCCAGAAGTACCGGGGATTTAACACTCTGGGCCAGCTCAGAAATGAGAGACAGAGCAACCGCCTTCCTCACAGGAGAGCTCTGAATCGCATTCTACACAAACGCTCTCAGAGCGTCCCCAGTGGACTGAGCCGCAGGTGCCTACAACGCGAACCTGCTAAAAGTCTTACCCTTTATTTGCTTTCCGCACTTCCCTCACTCATTTTACTCTTTCTCTTGTGCATCTGAGCATCAGTATCCCAAATAAATGACCCTCTTCCAAGTCCCTGTCTCAGGGTTTGCCTTTTGCAGGAGGCCAAACTAAGATAGCAGCATTCAACACACACACTATTTTTTATAATCGTTATCAAATTAAACCCGGAGGAAGCCCTGGAGCTATTCCCTCTAGTCTCTTCTGACTCAGTGGTCTGGCTCCTGCAGAAATGTCAGGAGCATGATCTTGAAGGGCTGTGTCTTTTGCTTTCTCCTCACTAATGTGCAGAGGTCATTAGCTGGCTGGCTGGGCATAGCGAGGTAAAAGCCCCAATGCTTTCCTAGTGGATTTTGCTGCACAGGTGTTCACTTGCATTGTTCATATTTTTGTAAAGCAACATTCCCCTTGAAGCTGAGACACACATTCTAAAAGTGTGTGTTTGCAGCTCCTGGATTTTTGAGGAGCGGAAGTAAGGTGGAGAAGGGCAGGGGGGGAAAACCAGAGGAAAGGAGGAGGACATGGAATCTGCTTAACTTTGCTGCACACTCCTTTTGGAGTTACTTGCCCCTTCAGGATGGGCATTATGGTTCCCTTTTTATGATAGAAAATTGAGCTATTAACAGAATAGGAAAGGTCGAGGTCACTGAAGGAGTCACATGGTTCAGATGATATCAGTACAACTGTTGGGAGGTGGGTAAAGGGTGCAGTGCTGGTCCAGGGCCAAGGCTGTTACAACAGAAAAGAGAGCATCTCCCTTAGATAACAGTGCCAGCTTCTGCAACAGACCCTTTAAGAATGCTTGGCACAGGCTGGCAGGCAGCTTAGATCTTACTGCAAAAGCAAAGATCAAGCAACTTCTCAGGGCTGTATTTCCTCTCTAGGGAATGTGGGATCCCCTGGGTTGAGGAGTTGAAGGAAAATTGCCTATGGTCTCTCGGTGATCTGCTGGGGAGTCTGTTTCATCAGCATTCCTAATTAAAGCCCACGTTAAACCCAGTCACATGTTCATGTGAAAAGCCCCACAAGAATGATTCTAGATTCCTTCAGCTCAAAAGGAGTCTCATGTGTAAATTCCAAACATCTGACCCTCTTTACATCTGCTTCCCCCCAAGTCCTGGGGAAGAGGTTATGAAGCCTCCAGTGTACAGAGAGCAAGCTGCCTGGACTATTAATTTCCTTCCTGGTGAACTGCATGAGAGAAATCAGAATCTCCCAACTGAATGAGTACAGGGAGGGCAGAAGAGGTTGGGGGAGAGAGGATTCACTGAGGACCAAAATTCCTATTCTGAAAAAACAGGGAGAGGGAACATTGGAAAAGGAGCTGCTTCATGGCCAAGATGGTAAATTTGGTTGCAGGAAAGTTGAATTTAGGCTCCTGGAGGGAGAGAGAGTTGGAAATAAGAGCTGCTTCATGGCCAAGATGGTAAATTTGGTTGCAGAAAAGTTGAATTTAGGCTCCTGGAGGGAGAGAGAGTTGGAAATAAGAGCTGGAGTCCAAGACCAAAGTAAAGATTGGAGGCAAAAGTAGGGGTCATGAGCACCAAGAAGACGTGGGCATGGTGGTGTAAATTAGATCAGTGTGAGGAGGTACAGGTGAGAAGAGGGGCTGAGAAGGTCCTGGGGCTCCAGTCATGCACAGAGCAGCCTGCCACCTGTGGCGAGCTGAGCACTTGCTGGCCCACTCACCTTCCCATTCTCAGTATGGGGCATGGCAGTCTCCTTGGAGCATGGGGATTCACCAGTTGAAACCTTCCATAAAATGACTCATTAAACTGCTTGATGTCTTCCCATCCATCACAGGCTAAAACATATTCCCAGGCAAACAGAGGTCCTCACACAATAATGCAGGAGAAGACAGTCAGAAAAGGGGGGTGTCCCTGTTTACTTCCCCGACTCCAGCCTAGAAAGGGTTGAATTATTATGCCTAAGGCAGAGGAGCAGACTCCCCAGTACCACCTGCAAAGGATCCATTTGGCCTATTGCATTACCATCGAGTTCCTCTACTTCAAAATTCCCTGCCTGTTCCCTTGTGCCCTCCCTCAGTAGGCTCTGTTGTGGCAGCAGAGGTTAGAAGGCAGGCTTCCAGGAAAACTCACCCTGGGGTCTCTCTCCAGCTGCTGCTTGTGGGGTAGGCTGCGTCTTCTCTTGACCTTTGCCAACCCATTGTGATAAAAATGGTAGAGGCCTTCTGCGAAGGGGAGCTGTGGAGAGTCAAACAGACACAGGCATTGTTAGCATCTGGGGTTGCCCCAGAACAGGGACACCAGAGCTGGGGTGCATGCTGGGCCTCCCTGGGGTGGGGAGGTGTGTGAGAAAACCACTGGCAGCCTCCTGTCAGGCCTGGACCTCTGTTTTCCTCTTCACTGTACTCCTTCCCATTTTTCTGCTTTTTCAAGGTATTGCCCATTCACCCCCACCCCCAGACCATCTATGCTTTCTTCCATTACTTTAGTTTCTGTCCATTTTTTGATCTTCTCTTCTCCATGGAACCTTCCCTTTATATTCATACCCACACCAAGTTCTCCATTTTCTTCTCTTAGATATCACAAGAAAACTACAGGCCACTACCCATTATAAAACCTAAAATATTCTTCAAATTCCTACTATACTGAATCCAGCTACGTCTAAAAAGGATTATGCCCTGTGGCCAAGTGAGATTTATCCCAATAATGCAGGTTGTTATTAACAGCTGAAAATCAATTAATATGATACCTGTCTATATCAATAAAGAATATACAATATCTCAATAAATGCAGAAAAAGCATTTGAGAAAATCCAACACTCTTTTATGATTAAAAAACACCAAAAACTTAGATTGAAAGGGAATTTATTCAATCTGATAAACGTATCTGAAAACCCACAGCTAATGTCATATATAGTGGTGAGAGGCTGAATGGTTTCCCCTTAAGATCACAGCAAGAGTAAGGTATCTGCTCTTGTCACATACAATCAAGGGTGGGCTGGAGGCTTTAGCCAGGACAGCTGGGCCAGAAAAAGAATTGAAGTCATCTAGATTGAAAAGAAAGGAAAAAACTATCTTCCTTTGCAGAAAATGTTATCTTGTATGTAGAAATTCCTCAGAAATCCATGAACTATTAGAATTAACAAATGAGTTCAATATGATTACAGATTAACATATAAAAGTTAATTATATTTCTATATGTTAGCAATGATTAATCCAAGAATAGATTTAGGAAAATAATTCCATTTATGATAACATCATAGAAACAAAACATTTGAGAATAAATTTAATGAAAGAAGTGTATGAGTTATAGTCA